ACATGGCTTAGTTAATCTTTGGAAAATATGACTAGTTTGATGTTATTGGTTTACTAAAAACAGATGTGTTACTCAGTTATCATCATAAGTATAATATGAGCTTATATTTTTATTCCACCTGGGTTTACCAGGCACCTATGGTTGCAATTAGTTAACAAGGAAATCATTTGAGATGAGGTCTAGTATTTTTGCTGTTAAGTGTGAAAAGTATGTCTTCCTAAAACCAGTTTCCAAAATCTTTTTTGTTAATTTGATAGCTTAGTTTTATACTCAGTTAAATTAAGGAATATTTGTTTATTAGATGTGTAGCCCATTTCTACATAAGACTGAAACACTAATTTTTACATGTGGCTTTTAAGCATAATTGTATTTGTGTCTGTTAAGAAAATTAAGAATTATTGAATGATATAACAGTCTTATAAGAAAACGTGTCACTAAAACATTTGCTTGTCAAATGGACTTACATCACATCTTTAACTACTGCAGTTTGATGAACCTGCCTAATGTAGACATGGAAATGAATGATCTGATAAAGAAGGATTATAATATTTTTGATATTAAGTTTGAGATTTTGCTTGAATTTGATGTTTTGTTTTCATGATTCAAGGCACCGCTTTTTCTTTTCCTGTACAGTATTTTTTCACTTAACAAATATGTAGTTTACACTTTTTTATAGAAATTAATCATTTATTGGCTTCTCTTTTTCTAATCTCTACAGAATTTGGAAACAACATACTGGATGCTCTTGCTGTTAGAAGTTTAACTCTGTTTCCAAACTTGGCTTCCCAGGTTTCCCAGCCTCAGGAGGCTTTTAGAAGTCTATCTGAGATTTCTTTTGGAAAGATCTGGCAAAGCAAACCCCAAATACCTTATGATAAATTTTCATTCTTGCTTCATTGGTGAAAATAATCCACCTAATACAATGAAATTAAACATATTTAGTCAGGAAGAATTACCTTACTTTACTTATCATTTTGCAGATATGGAGTTGAGTGGTTGTAGGTAAATTTCATGTCACAGAGGACAATATTTTGTGTTATTTTAACCTGTAAATTGGACAGTGTCATGTTGTGTCCATCCTCACTAAATTTTCAATTCTAGGTTCCTCATCAAACAAAAGTATTCATTGTTTCTGCTGTCTTCCTTGTGTAAACTACCAGGAACAACATTCTTACTTTTTTTGTGTGACTCTCTAAAGATTTCCCACAAGTTGAAGCTGGGAGGTTTCATGCTTTGCTCTAAGAAATCATCACAACTGTGACATTGATATCTGTGCCATCACTAAAAGCACTTAAACTGCACATCAGGAAATTTTTCAGTTGTGATGTCTGACTACTATGTTCTGTCTTCAGAAAGAATTGTTGTTTTGGCCAAAATTTCCTTGACTTCTGATGTTTGTTCCTAGTAATCTTTCATCCACTGACTTTCACCATGCACTTAGGTTGAATTTCATCTATCTCATTCTTTTTCTGGACATCCTCTCTTCCCTCCTGTATCGTCACTGTCATTCCATTGAACACAAATGGAGAAATCTTTTAAAAATTGGGTTGAACTACCCAGAACTTGCATTACTCTCAGATGTGCTTTTGGAATTGAATTGCAACATGTAGCTTCAAAGTTTGGTTTTAAGTACCTATGTTTGGATTTTAAATGTTCAATGAGATCAGATACAATGGTACTGCTAATTAAAGAGTAGACAAAAAGAATTTCTTAAGTGATTACTTAATAGTGAATTAAAAAAATGATTGCTGTTTAATGTAACAGCTCTGTGTTTGGGATTGTATAAGGATTCTGGCCCTGAAAATGTAAAGGAAAGCATCCCCATGGTGAGAAAACACAAGGGGGAAAAGGGGTAACAGGCACTCTGTTTCCCACCCTTAGAATGCCCTATAATTTTTCTAAGGATCTAATAATATAGCTAATATATGTGCTATGTCTAGCTGGTATGGCAATGCCCTGAGACCTCTGWGTTAGAGCCTCATCAAGCCTCAACCTTGATTGCAGGCACATACTCCTGGGAATAGAAAAACTTGTTTGCTAGATAACTACAAGGTTTCATCAAGCTTCTGTGCTCCTGGAGCTGCCCGCCTAACATTCAGACAGTAGCTTTTCTTGGGAACTGCACAAAGCTCCTGACACTGCATATTGAAATTGTGAAATGTAACTGCAGAATAACCAACTTTACTGATACTCTAAACAATAATGCGGTTATGGTACTAATGACCTGATGTAACCTATTGGTATAAATAAATGTGGCCACTTGGACAAAGAGCC